GGGTATAAAATCGTCGTTGGGCAACATTATTAATATATATATTTAATGATTTAAAGCTTTCATTAGAGTTACATTAAAGTTACATAAAAGACCATAAATAATCAGATTTACGCATATATTTGTAACTACTTCAATTACATTTCCAACTTTTTCTCAACAATATCATAGATATTAAGATTTCGCTTTGGTTATTTACAATTGTATAAAGTTATTCTTAGCTCAGTGTGCAATTAGATCATTAATTTGAAAACTTTGAATCGCAGCTTTGTCAACAATAATGAATAACTTGTTAAATGCCATAAATTCTAAGAGATTATAATTAAGGACTCTTAAGCTAACGAATCAAATATTGTCCTTGTCAAGACAAAAGGCAAATAGTCAAAAATTCATAATTTCACAACTTTCCATTGTTTGTGAGTGTGTGTGTGTGTGTGTTTGTGTGTGGGCGGAAAACTTTGTTTCATGATTTAATTGTGGCAAAGCTGGAAAAGTTTCTATTCCGAGGATTAACCTCGTTTTGTCAACGGCATGGAGAACTGTACAGAGTCACTCGTATAAATTATATTCACATTTCGAGTTTATTGCAGCGTCAAAGGATCTCTGGGGTTAGCCACTGATTGATTTACCGCACAAACTGTCGCTGTTTGCTGGGTGGTTGGGTGGTTTCTGCTGTGTGTGTGGGTGTTGTTAATGCTGTGCAACTAACCAACTCAGTTGTCAGTTCATTCTGACAGGCAGCCAAGGGGCAGCCAGGCCAACCAAGGGGGCCGACCAATATTCATGCTCCAATTGCACTCGCCAAACAATGCCTGGAAAGTGTGTTTATATTTAGCAAACGATGTTACCCAAAACACACGGCCACCCAATGGGCGGCCCGACGAACTCTCTCGGTCGCTGTGGGTCTTTATATATTCCCAATTGGTTGGGGTCTTGCAGCATCAGCAGAAAAGTGGGGATCGACTGGCTTGTCACGACACAAACCACTTGCCTCAAGTGGATGCTGCTGATGCGGCTGCTGCTGCTGCTGCTGTTGCTGTTGCTGCACTGGGAGCCCGCCTCCTTGGTCGCCTCGTTAATCATGCGAATTATGCATGAAAGTAGAGTACTTAATTTCAATTGTCTCAACAAGCTACAAGACCAACGACAACAACAACGACAACAACAACGTCAAGTAGTTTCGATGTGACCTACCAATACACTTGAAGAAATTTTCTATTTACACTTGACTGCACTGGGGAGGATTATATTGCATAGTTTCGCGTGGCGCTCTGGGAGTAAAATTTCCCTTGCGCAGCCTGGCCATACACGAACGCGCTCTCGCTACTCGCACTCTCGCTCTCTCTCGCGCTTTCTTTGTCTCTCCCAATTCGATTCGCTCTCTTGCTCTACATCGTTTCGACTCTCTCTATCTTCTTGGGCCTTCACACGCCTTTGACAATTTGCAGCAACTTGTGCGCTCGTTTGACTTGGGTTCAATTGTTTGTGATTGTCGCAGCGTCGCTGCTTGTGTGCGCGTCTCTGTGTGATTGTATGGCTGGCTGCTGTATGCATGTGTGTGTGTGTGTATGTGTGCGGCTCGTGTTTCTGTTTGTGTGCGCGCTTGAACAGAGTTGTCAGCTGTTTTGCTTGCATTACGCCGCTGCGCTCCCTTCACATCTTTGCACAGTTTTGCTTCTTCTCATTCGTAGTTGCGCTGTGCTGCCCATTATTACACAATTTATATATATGTATATGTGTATATAGTTTCTTTTAGGTGTGGTTTCTGCATGACGCCCACTGCCGGCAACGCCCCGAACCGCCCATTGCCTGCAGTTTTTAATCAATCACTTTAAACTATAGAATTTGCACGCCAGGGGGCGCAGCTGTCGCTTGGCTTTGAAAACTTTTGCATTGCATAGTTTTAGGCGGCCCGTGGCGTGGCCTGTGCTCAACTGTAAAATGCAGCAGCTGCAACAGCAGTTGGGCCTTGTCCCGATTCTATTCTTTTCCCTTTTTTTTCCTCGCTTCTCCTAGCTTTCGTTTGTTATGTGCGCTACCATGTGCCGCACAATTTGCACTTGGCCCAGCACAGTGGGACAGAAGTTGACAAATGGATATTTAATTGATTTCCATAAATATTATTTATTGAAATGAATTGAAGAAATGGGTTATAGGCTGGACTATATTTTGTTCGTTGAATGAAATTGGCGTTAGCAGAAGTTTCATTATTTTATTCCCTAAAATATGTAGTATTATTTATTTGTAAATTATTTATTATTTTATTTATGTGTAAACTATTTATTGTTTTATTTATTTTTTGTTGTTATATTTTTTTATTTTGTTTTTAATATTATTTATATTTATTGTATTTATATATTATATGTATATTTTTTATTATTACTATTTGATTTTATTTTTTAAATTAAAATTTATTTAAAAATTTTTTTTTTTATTTTGATTTATGTTTTTGATTGTTTTATTTTTTATGGGTTATATTAAAAGTTTTACTATATATGTTATAATTATTTTAACATTTTTTATTAATTTACATATTCTAAAAGTGAGCAACTATCTCTGTGATTATATATCATATCAAATGGTAGCAACTTTTACTTTAAAACTGTATTTAAACACATAAAATTAAATGTGTTGCCCAATTCCACTTTTTGTCGCTCTTGCCCCACTGTGTAATTTGGTCAAAAGTTTTCATTCTCTTTGCCTTGCTTTGTAATTCAGGCTTTGTTGTGCTTGTTGACATTGCCAGTTTATGCAAATTTGCGGCAATTAATCGCAACTAACGGCAGCACTAGAAGCAGCAGCAGCAGCAGCAGCGGCAGAAGCAGCGGCAACAGTAAAAGTCAAGTGCAAAACAAACCGAACCGAAGCGAACTTTCTACGCGCCGCGTACAAAACTGAAATAGCAACAACAACAACAACAACACAGCAGCAACAGCGACAAACACACGCGAATTATGGCTTGGGGCTATTGGTCCGCCACAACAGTGGATCGTGGACGCTCGCCACGGCGCTTGACGCAATGCACGCCGTTGCCTGTGAATCTCGTGCAGCAGGAGGAGGAGGAGGAGCAGCAGCCGTCGTCGTGTTTACCACAACAGCAGCAACAACAACAGCCGCAACAGCAGCAGCAACAGTCGCAGCAGTCACAGACCTGCCCCAGCACCCCCTCGGCTAGTCAACAAGGCGGCGGCGGCGGCACTCTCTGCTACAGTCCCACGTGTCGCTCGCGCTGCTCCAGTCCCTGTCCGGGCTCGCCGTGCGGCTCAATTACGCCGCCGCCGCCGCCGTTGCTCACATCCTCGCAACAGCATCTCCATCAGCACTCGAACAAGAATTGCCCGGCCGCACAGCAGCTGCTCACGCACTTGGATTACGCGGCACGCAGACAGTCCCTGGATCAGCTGGACAGTCCGCAGGTACTGAACACGGTACTACATTGAACAGGGCACCAGAGCTGTGCACGGTGGGAACAGAATAAGCGTTGCCCCACAAAATTGAGATCCATTCAAGTTGAGAAAAAGTCTATAAATATGCGAATGAGTAGAGAAAATTAACTGCAATTGCGTATGACTGGGAATTGCTAGAGGCAGAGAGATTTTGATATTATATATTTTTTTTATTATAATTATAATTAACTGAAATTCTTAGTAAAGAATTTCTTTGTTAAAGAAGGAGCAAAGCTGAAAGTAAATAGAAAGGAAGTTTCAGTTTAATATATTTTGTATAAATCAAATATATGTTGTGATATATATTGCCTCTGAAATTGTCAGAATACTGAATTAATATTGAAATTAAGTCTGTCTAAAGGGTTTTACTATCCAAGAAGTCTACAATATATTTTTAGCCATTTTCAATTTAAAATATTTCATACACGTTTTTCTGCTATAGACCAAATGAATCCTTCTTCAGTAGAAAAATAAATCAGCTTCAATTCCTACAAAAATCGAGGGAAATTCTAAAAAAAA